GAAGAAGAGAGAAAAAGAAAGAGGAGAGATAAAGAAGAGGGAGAAGAAAGAATGAAGAGAGAAAGAAAGGAGAGAAAATAGACATAGGATGAGCTTGAGCCTACGTGTGCATCCATCTGTCCCCTTGCATGCACATTAGAGAGAGAGGCTTGGGCTTGGTGGGTCAAGACTAGGATCCAAGGCTTAAGTGTATAGTTAGGTAGGTTAGGTTGAGGTATGGTGTATGGGAACTTAAGGAGTATAGCTTAGGTTAAGGTTCATGAGAAACTATGGTGTATGGTGTAGGGTAAGGTATAGGGTGTATGGTGCTTTAAGGTGTATGGTGTAGGGTAAGGTATAGGGTGTATGGTGCTTTAGGCTGTATGGTGTAGGGTAAGGTAAAGTGTATGCTACTCTATGGTGTAAGGGGTAGGGGATAGACTAAGGTGTATAGTGCTCTAGGGGTATTTTCTCTCTCTAGAAACCGTTTCTCTCTCCTCTCATCTTGAACCTTGAACTTGCAACCAAAGTAAAAGAACAAGCCAAAGCCTTAATTTCAAGAGTTTCTAAGAGGAAATTTCTTTTAGAATTCAAAAGCCTCATTACAAATGACTTGGGTTTAGATACCCTTTGATCGTCTTGAAACGGATTTTTAAGAGAGAACCCAAAATCCGGCCAAGTCCATAAACTTTGTGATTCTTCGACCACCAATCCGGCACAATCAATAACCTTTCAAGCCTTCATTTTGATCACAAATTGAAGAGGATACTATCTCGATCATTTTGCAATAATTTTTGTCTATTTTGGTCTCCGTTTGAGCATGTTCCAATTTTGGGAAGTCGCTAGAAAATAGGATTCTGACGACTGAAAAAGTATGTCATTTTCGACCTCAAAATTTGTGTCATCGATCTCCGATCATACATAAAAATTATATCAAACTGTAACTCTTCGAAGTACTGTCGCAATGGACCCCATACTTGCAACGATCCAATATTGGAATCTTAAGTTGTTGCTACTGTAATAGCTAGGTGGGCTATCTCGAAGTGTTTCTTCTAGATAGTTTGTTGAGGTGTGAAATTTTGAACTTGATTTCGGGCCTACATGATGCAAGCTTTTGATTCTATGGTCCCAATTTTCAGGATTTTCGGTGATCCTAAGGTTTGTGAGTTTTAGTCCAGGGTTTTTTGTTTTCTTAGAATTTCCTCTGCTATGAATGATGCATCTACACTAAGTATTAAACTCACACAAATTAAATTCAGGATTTTCGGTGATCCTAAGGTTTGTGAGTTTTAGTCCAAGGTTTTTTGTTTTCTTAGAATTTCCTCTGCTATGAATGATGCATCTACACTAGGTATTAAACTCACACAAATTAAATTCAATGCTTTGGAATACTTACATAAAAATGCTAAGTATGACTTTTAATACAGCCCCTAGTTCATATCTATAACTCTAGATTTTATTATTGACCTTGATTAACCTTTTTACGAGACGCTCTAGTGAACTTATATCTATCCCGAGACTCTTTGATGAATCTACACTTTATATCCATATGCTATTGTGAAGACAAAAAACCAACCTTCTTTTTGTCTATATTCATACCTCCGGATGCACAAAGCATAGAAATTTGCCTATCTTAAGATTTATTATTGACAAAACTATATCCCTTTTCTTCATCATTTATGAACCATGAGGACCGAAGATTTGTAAACTCATTTTAAATGAAAACAATCTTATACTTGCTAGAAGGGTAAGATAGAAATATAAACTTTCCCTACTAGTCCCTTTTGACGAAAATTCCACATCATCCTAGAATGATGTGCAAGAAAGGATGACACAGCTCATATTCAAAGTGGGATAAATAATTTAAGGGTGAAGTTTGCATAGGGATGCATATGTAAGTGTAGAGGTAAGATGCACCTTCAAATTTTATCATGCTATATAATTTTGATGTAAAATGTTTTAATATTACCTCAAAATTTATTTTTATATCTAATTATAAATTTTTAAATTTAAAAAATGGTTAAAATTAAGTAGATCTATAACATATGAAAATCTTGAAAATGGACGGTGTAGATAATATGTTATAAAATGCAGTATTTTTTAGACTTAAAATCTTTTTATTTTTCATAGTCATACATTTCGATATCGATATGATCAATCAAAAGGTTTTTCAACATTAAAACTACTTTTTCCTAAGGATTTTTGAGGGGCATCCGTAGTTCTACATTATAAGGTAGCATCTTTTTATAAACTTTTTGTATAATTTAAAGACAATAATTGTGTAAGACTACAAGGAACGCTACGCACACTACACAGCAACTATCGAACACGATCATCAACCACTAGCCGGTTCTCGATGGCTATGAATATTCACCAAAGAAACAATCAACAAGAAGCATAGATAGATATGCACATAGCCAGACAAACGTAGGAGTATATATATTCTCCAAAGAAAAGAGACCCCATGGTTTACGAAGAATATATCTTGTAGCAACTACAACTGTGATAGATTAAACATAGGTTTTTTGCTTCCCCAGTGTATGAAATAGTAAATGTAATTAACAAGGCATCCACAGATACTTTGAAATCGCTCGACCCAGAAATAAAAAAAAAACTTTGTATATAAAAGAATCTTGTTAGAGTGATTGTTTAAAATTCTCTTTAATTGCTTTTACATTCAACTTAAGATTTCCCCAAATGGATTACAATACCCCTTGCTTGTAAAGCTTGCAGATAGGTAACTTTTTTAATTGTATTGGTTCACACATCATACTCTGCAAATTTGTGATATATAT